ACAGTCAACTACCCTCTCTGCTAGCTAACAGTCAGCTACCCTCTCTGCTAGCCAGGACTGTGTCTGAGTGTGTTATCAGTGTGTCAGAGTGAAACTGAATATTGATCTTCTATCAGCTGTTTGCTTCCACTCTCTGTGACCCTGTCAGTGTTCAAGGATCTCTGTAGATGTGTTCTGCAGTAAAATATCTCTGAACATGAGTCTTTTTGTCGCTCTACATGTTGCTGTCCAGAACCAGGAGAAACACCAACATGTTCTCAGGAGTTTGGTTTGGTTCCACGGTTCTCTGCAGGAACGTCATGTGTTTGAGCTGCAGCTGACGGTGTTCAGTCAGTTTTCTGTTAAACGTCTGAACTGTGGGGCAACAAAGAAAACAGGAGAACAGACAGAAACGTGCTGCAGGTCCAACGTTCAGATAAAAGAATTGTTTCAGAACAGAAACAGTCGGTTTCTCCGGCAGCTATTAGAGGATTTAAAGCCTTTTAGGGCAGCAGAGACCAGTTTGTTCTGAAAACACCAACCAGTCCACCCACAACACTGTAAATGTCCAGACAACGTCCAAATAACGTCCAGACAACGTCCAGCTCAGTTAGAGTATTTGTACTGGCAGATGTATAAAACATCATTTGTGTACTTTGAACAGTTTAGTGACAGGAATCAACAGGGCACTTGAACTTGTAATGGAGTATTTTTACTTTATCTTTCAGTCTTTTGTGAGAGTTTGTTCTGCCGCTGCCAACTGAACCAGAAGGAGGGAAAAGAACGAGTCACATGTTCATCACCGACCAGCTGATTCTGTCTTTGATGTGTTTCTGTTCCAGTGAAACATGTTAAAGCTGCACCACATGATCCGTGCGCATTCATCAAGTAATCTGATTACTTTAGGACTGCATGATGTTTTTTGTTCTGCCTTCAGGATGAGTGACGTCCGATTGGCTGCAGCTTCCTCCACCGTGTCCACGGTAGCAGGATGCAGTTCCCATGGATACGAGCCTCCGGCCTTCATCCTGCCTCCTCGTAACGCCCGGGTGGTCCTGGGAGGAGACGCCCGCCTGGAGGGGAAGGTGGGTCATCCAGCAGAACCACAGCTGGTTCTCTTTGGTGTTGAACTGGTTGTAGCGCAGCAGAGTTTGGATGTTTTGGGGACGTTCTCAGGGCTCCAGAACCTGTTACATGAGAACAATGGAAGAAGGTTCTCAAACCACCTGGATGTTGTGGAGGTGTCAGATGGCAGAAGGTTTCCTGTAACTTGTTCCTGCAGCGTGACATTTTACCTGCAATGTTCTGAGGATGTTTTGGGGACATGAACAGTTATAGAATGAAACATTTCCACAACGTTACACAGTGTTACATGAAAACAAGGAACTAGGTTCTCAACGTAGCGACTTGGAGAACATGACCCTGCCTTTAGCAAAAACATGCTGGAAAGTAAAACAATCTTTCCCCTGAAAACATTCGTGGAACCTACAGATCCAATCAGAGTGTCTCCACAGTCTCAGAAACAGATCCAGACGCAACCAAGCTACAGAACCGACCCTACATGTAGATCAGGTTCTGATGTTTGCAGGTGACTGTGCGACAGAAACATAAATGAATCCTGTCGACCCTGAGCTGAGGACTCAGGCTGTCTTCACCTGCAACCACACCTCTTTGACTCCACCTCATGAATGAATGGTGGTGTTTCTCTGGTGGAGTCTCTTGTGTTTGTTCCAGCTGCTGCCCTGCAGTGTTTGGATTCCTTCACCCTGTGTCTGAGTGGTCATGAACTCCGCCTCAGCGTCGTGCTTCTCACGCTGTCATCAGTAAACACTGTTTAATATTTAAACACCTCAGAGAGACGCTGATGGAGGAAAACAACGTAAAACTGCTTTAGCTCACATCTCTGAAGGAGCTTCTTCCTCTGCAGATGTTTCAGGAGGGTCTGTGCTGTATCTCAGCGGGTTCACAGACGGATTATCATTTCTTCAGTCTTGTGACCGTCTGCATCCTGATGTGCAGCAGCCCAGAACTCCCAGTTAACAACAAACACTGGTTCCTGCTGTGGCCAGAACATCCTGCTGCTCTCAGGCTCTCACTTTGTTTATTATAACCAGTTGAACACTAAATCCCAGTGAAACCAGCTCAGACCAGCTGCTCAGAGGGAAAATCCCACAACGCCTGAATGCACCGTCAGTCCACAAACGCGATGGATGGAGCTGCAAAGCCTCCTGGGAGCTGGAGGCAGAAACACACACTCACCTGTTCTGTGTGGTCTTTCAGGTGCGAGGTCATCCTGAGCCGCAGGTCACATGGTACAGACAAGGGCGGGCTGTGATTGGTGGAGAGCGCTGCCTGGTGGAACGAGGTGGGCGGGGCACCTTCAGCCTGATGGTGGGCGGGGTCACAGAAGAGGACGTGGGCAGGTACACCTGTCAGGCAACCAATCAGGCGGGGAGCCGGCAGGTTACCGTAGAGATCCTTCTGGAAGGTACAAACACCTGCAGTACATGTTCTCCTTTGGTTCTCCTTTGGTTCTCCTTTGGTTCTCTCCTGGTTCTCCTTT